CATAATTTAACCTATGAATTGCAATTATGTAAATCATGTAAATATCTAATTTATAAAGCCAAATAAATTCATATTAAAAAAAATGTTCATGATAGTCAGGTATGTTTCCTTGTAAATATAAATATGATATATAAATAATTAACCCGCTGCACCGATAATTTTCGGCAATTAAAATAATGAATTGGAATTATTTAACCATATATGATTTACCTGTAAAACATGAACCAGTCTGTTGCTCATTATGTGATATAATTCCAGGTGAGATTTATTGGCGCAGGCCACGACCAAGTGTTGAGAACCAGGAGTAATTCGCAGCAGATTCACACTTTGGCGGACAGTCATTTTTATATGTTCAGAAATCGGCGGAGGCAACCTGAAATTAATAAAACAAATTAGTAATAATTTAAACTTCAGCAATTATAAAATACAAAACGCAATGCTATAATAGATATCATTGCAAGGATTTTATAAGGTTAGTAAAATATAGTATAGCGAATGAAATTCGAAATAACCAGAACATAAATTACCAAGACCCTAGTAAGATTTCAACAAAACTATCATTAATTGTCTAACAATACTTATTTGAAAAAAAAAAAAATCGGAAAAACGAGCTACGAAATGCCACAATAATTATATATGAACCTAGGACGAGTTGACGTAAAAACATACATAAGTTATAGTTCAAATTATCATCTTCTTTAACATTTTTTGAAGATCTGGATAATGCTAAAGTTGCAACCCGTAAAACTCATTTTCATTAAGGAGTTTCATGGGGTACAAATTGTACGCAATTGTAACTTTTCAAGAAGTATCCTTTTATATAATTTTATTAATGAAATAATTCTCACAAGAGTTCAAAGGGACGAGCAGAGGCGATGTAAAACCATCACTCCAAGCCATCGAAGACGTCATCAACTGATTCAGAACATTGTTCTTTGCGTCGCCTTCTGACCCTTTGGAAACATCTTTTGGAGTATTTGGAGAATTCAACTGATTATTAGAAATGCCGATGAAGGTAATCCTAGAATATCCTTGGATGCAGCAATAAGTGGATCTTCAATGTCTGTGATACGTTTCAGCCAACTTATCATCTGGAATACATTAGATTTAAATCATTATTATATATAATTCAAAGAAAGAAATAAATTTAGTACATTTGTATTACGTGAATAAATTATTTACCTGAGCTGCCAACTGTGTTGGATCTCTTGTTAATGTATCAGAAGATTTTTGAATAATGTAATCACACGATTTCGATATCCCGATCTAAAATAAAATCTCGAATTTCTTCCAACAAACACCGTAGTAACTGATAGACACCATTTGAACCTAACAAATATCAATTTCAAATTAGTTTGTAACTTACATAAATGATAAATACTACAAATTAAAACTGATATAACAACTTACCGATGCTAAAAGAAAATCGAAGTTACAACAACAAGTTTTCTTCAGGCGATCCAGTGAACCAGCTCGAAGAAGTTGAGTCCAATATTCCTCCACATGTCGGAGATTGTAAGTTGTCGTGGTTGCCGGATTATCTGAACAAAAAAGATTAAACATAAAGTCTACTCATATCACAATTAATATATAATGAAAAAAAATCTGCTATTTCCGCGGTTCATTTACTAAATTAATTTTTTAATATTAAAGCAAAAAAAACTAGTAATCGTAGGATCGCGTATGGAGCAGATAGGACTCTGCCGATCATTACCAAAAATTAATCAGCATGATTACTAACTCAAATTTTTCAAATGGTTTCTGAATCTTCAAAATCGGTACAGTTTGGCAAAACGCAGACAAAATTTTTTACTCCTATGTGCTAATTATATGAAATCGGTTTGGCAAATTGTCGCGCTAAACTTATCAATACGTGTCCTTAACATTTTTATTTTACATTTTGTATTCATTGTTCATTCATTTTTAATTTGAAAACCTTTCATTCATACAACTTATATTAAGTGCAGAGAGTTAGAGTAATTTAATTAGAACTTAGTCGTACCTTGAGAACTATCATCTGCCTCATCTAAAGCTTCTGGTTCATCTCATTCAAAATAAATTGGCGACCTACGACATAGTTAAAACATTGCTTATTGAATATATGATATTATATATGTAATTTATCCATTTAACCACCTGATATGAGTTTGTTTATGAACATCCCTTGTTAAAAATCGTCTTACTATCACGCCCATCTGCTGATGTCGCCATTGGAGTACAATTTTACCAGTCAAGTATTTGTCCAAAATCAATTCGCCTGTTCAAGATACTCGTATTAATGTAAATTATTTGAAACAATATTGTATTACTTAGTATAAATACCAAAAGCTTCCTTAACAGCACGAAAAGTCCTGAATTAAACTCTCTTTTTTCTTCAAATCGGCATCCAATCGGCTCATCATGAATTGAATCATCTTTCTCAATCGGCACCAGGAGCTCCAGACATTCGCTCTCTGTTAAACCGAATTCTGTGCAACAAATATATCGACAAAATTGTGCAACCGGTCCATCCGAACATATCTTGAAGTTTGTTTTAACCCGGTTTCTAAATGCTGCGAAAATGTCGTAGTATTTTTGATCGTTATTGTTGGGATTTAAAATGATTATGGATCTTCCTTGTGGGATGATCATCAACTGAATTGTGTTTCAAAGTGCCAGCATAATGAAGTCGTGTGGTCCTGGTGGTGGGATTTAGGTTGATAGTAATGCTTCAAATAACTAGTGATATCTTCACAATTGTCTTGAAAAAGATCAGTGGAGTTTCGTTTTGCTAGGAAATTCCACAGTATTTCAAATACTTTTTGATGAGAATTTACATTATCATTGACTTTATCGTTCTTTTCATCTGTGGTACT